CTGAATTTGACAGGGTTGCCTCATTCGGCTTTACTGCACAGACAGAAATAGCGATTTGCCTTCCTGTTGTATAAGAATAAGACACGAAGGTGGAGAGAAAGAACTGTGATTCATGTTGTGCTACTTCCTGATCTGGACGATAAATAAAATTGAATCAAAGCCGAGAGATGCATTAATCAGTGATTATAGCCCCATTTACATTACCTTTTCGAAACCGTGTCGAGAACGGTCCGATTATGGTAACCTAGATAACTGTTGAGTGTAAATGGGGCTAAAGAGCGCATGAGCAGACCGCGTTATCTCCTTACTGTTAGGCTCCGTAATCATGAAACTTCCGACATTCATAAAAATACTAGCTTCCCTACCGTGGTTCTACTTAGCAGTGAGATTAACCTAAACGTCTGTCGTTGTCTCCTGCATCTGTGAGCCCTGATTAGACTATCGTTTGTATTATCCACTTCCCAAAAGCCAATTCTGGCAAGTAAATTCAGCAAAGGCTGCCTTCTTCCCCCGACTCTGTAGAAACAATCCACCACAACAACCCCGCCCCTTTGATAATCGACCAATCAAATTCACTTTATTCAGTCGTGTAAAGTCGGGCACCACTCGGGAGAATTCAGAAATGCAACGGTTGGAACAGCCGTTTCCCTACGACTTTAAAATGCAACAACTTGCACATAAAGTCTGTTTGCCAGCCTCATTTATAAACATTAAATCTGATGTTATTATCCAAGAGTTACTCAGTTCTCAAGTAGCCTTTTTAACAAATACTTTTTTTTAACTTTTACTTGGTAAACATTTTTTAAAGTAGTGCTACTGTTACTTGAGGAAAATCTTTAAGCTTCATAGACATCTGATCCAGAACCTCGTTGAAACGAGCGGAAAACAGTTTGTAACAATTTTCTCAAGGAGACTAAAAAAAAACAATTAATATTATAACAAGCAGCATTCAAACTACAGATGAGGAGCTGCTGCGTCTCAATCTCCAACATCCACTGCAGCTTTTTACTGTCCAACCTGTTGGACGTTCTTCCATCCACAGCTGCAGACCAATCCTTTATAACCCAACCAGCATCCAAGGTAAAGTCCCCACCTGTGTTTTCTCCAGTTTGCATTCCCGTTGGCATGGTGACGATCAGCTTGCTGTTGTGTTCCCGTCGCACCGTTGACCTGCCGCCACTTCACACAGATAGAACAGTCACATGGTGTTGTAGTATAGATCCAGGCTCTCTGAGACGTTTTAGCACTCAGACGACATCAGAACTTACCCGCAGTAAGGACACTTCCTGGTTTTCATCTGGACCTTCCAGAAGTCGTTTATAAGACTGCTCCTCTTCTCAACCAGGTGTTTAATCTACCAAACGGCACAAACACAAAGTCAGCGCACGCTAGCGCCGGCCTGCTGGGTTTCTGTCAGCGGGAGGAGGTGCAGACTCACAGGTTTGGATCCCTGCGAAGCTTTGGCGTTCGCTCCAACTACGCTGCTGGTAAACTCACTCAGCAGCCGCTCGATCTCATCTCCTGTAGCTTTGGGGTTTTCCTCCAGGTGCTAGCAGACAGATACGACCAGCTCAGAAGAGGCGATGCAGAATAAACGACAACAGATACAATCTTATACTCATCTCCTCCTCTGAGGCTCTCAAACAAAGTAGAAGTTAGTTATTAGAAGCAGAGATGACAGATTCAGTATTTTCCCAACAGAGATCAACTGATGCAGGCTTGTTTACATTGACGCCGATTACTCTGACATCACTCTGACTGTTCCCTGATATGAGCTGCTGATATTTTGGGGGCGATTCTCCAAGCCAATACTTCTTCCTTCCTTTGCATAATAAAAATGATAGAATGAATCTCAACTTAAAGAGAACAGATCAATCAAAGCATTAGCAGCTGATTGCAGATGGGAGGAGCAATGATGAGCTGTGACATATGAATCAAGATGCTATGACCGAAAAAATTTAATTGACAGATGACCGTTGATATACGATTGGCTGAATTTAGGTGTTCAGGCTGACGTATAACTAACTGACCTGCAGAAGATAACTAGAAAACAAACACAGATATTAAGACACGACTTTTTTAAATAGAAATTTATAAATTTTGAGACAATATAGTCTGATAAAGAGTACATTTAGATACACGTTTAAGCCAGAATGATTTGACATTTAAATATAATTTCCCTACGACTTTAACCTTCAGCCAGATGACCTCCAGACAGCTGCAGTAAAAGCCCGTCTCCAGCCGAAAACCAAACACAAAGGATCTAGATTAAAAACCAGCAGCTCCTTCCTCCTCTCACCTGATTGAGAACGCTCTCGATGACGTAGACCTCCTGCATGGCGCCGTGCTCCACTAACCGCAGCTGGTTCACCAGCAGGTGGATGGCGGCTCGGGGACACGTCAACATGTGGCACGCCAGACATGAACCGCGAATCAACAGGTAGAGTTTCTGAAGAAGAACAAGATGGAGAGAAACAAAGGGAAAGAGCAAAGAATAAAACTACAGGCTAAAGCGTTGAAAAGATAAAGTCCATTTAGACCAAATCCATATCGACAGAGAAAGGTTATTCAAATATTAAATATAGAGTTCCATCTATACGTCATTGACACAGCAGCAAATTAAAAGCCTCCACACCTTCAGAGTTCGTTTAAAAGACATTCTAAGCAATGTGAAGCATATAAAATAGCGTACCATGTATTTTTGCACTTATTTTAATTTAAATATCATAATATATAAAAAAGTACTTTATTATGAAAAGCACTGCTGTTAGCGACAACGTGCTGCTCTGCTCTGTGTAGATTAGATCAGGGGTAACCAATTAAAAATCAGGACAGTCCGAATAAACAAAATCATCAACCAGTACAGGTCCGGGGACATTTTTAATAATAATCTGTTCTTTAAACAGAATTTAACACTAAAATAAAATTACAGTAGGTTTTTATGCATCAATGTTATATATTGATTTTTTTAAAAATATAAAAAAACAAATAGAAATTTTTTTTTTTTATTTAAAAAAAAAATCAATTCTGGTAAATATTTTTGGAAAGGAAAATAAAAGTTTGAGAACATCTACTGTAGTTAACTACTGTTCATTCTAGAGCTAATTCCTTTTTGGATTAATAATCAGATAAACCAAGTGAGGCTAAAACTGGTAAGGACTTTCAAAATAGTTTTTTTTTTTACAATGTTGGAATAAGAACCGCTTTTAGTGGGTTAAATGTTCAGCATGTTTTAAAGTCTCTAAGCTCAAGTTAACGAATAATTATTGACTAAATTAATGGAAGATATATCAATAATCAATTAAATTCAATTAAACTTATTTAAAATGTATTTAATTTAAAAGGGACGACAGAAAAGACCCTCAATTCTTCTCTAAATCAGTACCGTGGCAAAAGAAATTCCCTCAGTAACTTTTGTGTGATTGTTTCTTAGATATTAAACCTTATTTTTCCAATGTTGGCTCTCTCTGTGGTCAGCCTCTTCTCTGTATTATTATAAATGATGATCAATTGCTCGTGTTAAAAATATTTTTTTTCCTATATTCTTTTATTAATACACTATTATGAGAATAAAGTCGTAACATTACGAGAAAAAAGTCGTAATATTAGGAGAAAAAAGTACTAAAATTATGAAAAACAAATTCTACTTAACGACAACTCTTCCAAGAAACACTTTCTTCACTAAAATGAGGAATGTGGAGCATCATGTGAAATTATATTTTGGCTCTAGTTTAACAAATAAGGAAATCTTTTAGCACCAGCATTAAATAGGGCAGAATGTGAAAGTGGACTCAGGTTGCTGATTGGCCGTCATCTGCCGGTCGGAGCTCCAAGCTTTCTTTATGAAATGGGTTGGGGTATGACGACTTCATATTCGTAATATTACAACTTTATCTCGTAATGTTACGACTTTGTTCTCATAATTTTACGACTTTATTCTCATAATGTAATGACTTCATTCTCCTAATCAAAAAAATCTCTAGCCTGGCCCTAATACTCTGTGTTACATCAGCAAAGTCTGCATTGTTGTGTGAAAACTACAAATAACTAAATATTTAGCATCAGCCAAATAAACTTCCATTTCATCCAGCTGATTTTTAATATATTTGGGGAAAAAAAGGAACTGAGATCTGATGCTTGTTTGTGTTAAACTGAGCTTACATCAAAGAACAGAGGGTTGTATACTGGGAGAGGCAGCTCTACGTGTCCAAAGTGTCCTGGACAGTTGTTGAAATCCTGACAGCAGGTTGAACAGACCTGAAAACAAATGAATCAAGACTGAAATAAGTAGATAATAACACATGGCATCCAGTACATCTAAAGCACTCCATGTTTCTGTACCTCTTTGATGTCTGCTGGCCCCAGGGCCAGATCATATAAACTGTTTGGGGCCACATTTCCCACAGCATCCAGGAACCTGGAGTTTGAGATGGCTTTCACGCTCAGCTTCCTGCACAGGAGAGGGTAAAATGTTAAATGACAGGAAGAGTTTGGGGTTTGACATGAATAACACGCGCATTAGCTAAAAGTAAACATCAGAATATTTCTGCCTGGATGTTTTGAGCTCTAACTAGCCCCAAGCTAACAGGCTAAAAAGTGTCTCACCTTATTTCCTCGGTCGAGTACAAACCAAAGGTCATGCCCTCTAGCCGCCGCCATGGCACCTCTTTAGAAAACAGCATTTTTCTGCGGATGTTAGCTAAAACTCTGTTGTTTAGTGCTGATAATTCATGTTGCTAAGTGTTGAAACCCACGAGCTGCAGAGTCCTCCTGTTCCACACGTGGGACCGTTCCACCGCCTCTGAGACTGGAGGGGAGTTCTCCGACACGGAGTTAAACGGCGGAATTAACCGTCACTTTTAGTTTATATTACAATAGTGCACAAAAATGCATTTTACCATATTTAATTCCTATATATTATTTTAAACATTTGAAATAACCTATCACTCTCACCCCAACCCCCTGTTTCAGCTGATATGGTTTGCTCCGTTCCCACAAGCCTTCAGTTGCTAACAATATGGCGGCTCCCTGCAGGCACGTAGGACACTATATTCAGAGAAACAGTGGATTTCTGCGGATTAATGTCGACCAGCTGTTTGCTGGAAGGTAAAATACGCTTAATGTTGCCTTCCTATAATGTCCTAAGTTTACTGAGCTGTAATATCTAGTGTTTTATTAGTGACAGCATCCCCACCGGCAGGAGAGGTCATGTTTCTGTCAGTTACTTACATCACCAACAATCATCCAAATGCAGGTTTAAACAGTTAAATACCTGAAGACCCTTAGCCATCTATTAACCAACACAGCGAGGAAAAGACCTTTGGTGTTAATATATATACCAGAGTTGCTGTCGCTTTTTAACAATCCGCTATCTGGTACCTACACCGGTGTAGCATCGAATGCTGTCCCCCATCAAACTGTGTGACCTCCTTATGTAGTTTATTGGTTTTATTAGACGATAAAACATGATGCAGAATAAAAGTACATTAGGGAAATATATTGGGTACGGAAGAGGATTAGGGCCAATGAAAAAAGAAAAAGGAGCCACATTTCTCTGTGACCTCGTTTCGGTTTTAGGAAACATCTTTGTTGGTCTTTATCTGAGTTTCCCAAATGAACAAAACTATTTGTAAAAAATATTGTGATGTGGTTCCTGAGGTTTATGGAGGGATAACATATATGAGGAAATAAAGAAATGCAACATGAATTATGTAAATACAATAGATTTGTTGAAGTGTCACAGTACATATACTATTAGGAATGCATGATTGAAAAAAAATACAATTCACATCAATTGATTAAAGAATAAGTTTAAAATTATGAATTTTCCACAAAAGAATGTATTTAAAAATGAATGTAATTACCTTCCTCTGTATATTTATACACTCCAGGCTGCAGCACTGTTAGTTATTAGGATGAAAAGTTAGAGAAGCCGCGGTCTATTTGAAATATCTGACCTCTCTCTGTTTGTTTCCTGTAGGAGTTTCAGTCTGATTGCGGCTCTTCGACAACAAGCAGCTGAGGTTCCTAAAGGTAAACGGATCAGATGGTTTGGATTTTTACAGGGCAAATACCAAGTCATCCAATTTAAATCATCCGTAATAAACGTTTATGAAAATTGGCTCAAAGTTCAACAAAGTGAACTGCAGACCCAATCCGCATGATGAAGCATGGCGGTGGAAGCATCATGCTGTGGGAAATGCTCTTTTACAAGGCAGGTAGAGACAAATTACACATGCTGTAAATATGAAATAAGGTCGCTTATGTAGCTGTGGAAACATTTAATGAGTGAATAGAATAGAATAGAATAGAATAGAATAGAATAGAATAGAATAGAATAGAAAAGAAAAGAAAAGAAAAGAAAAGAAAAGAAAAGAAAAGAAAATCCCTTTATTCTCCCACAATGGGGATATTCTGGTTGTTCAGCAGCAAACAAATAATAGAAATAAAATGGCCACAAGAATATAAATCTTAGAAAAATGTATAAGAGTAACACACTAGTGAAGAGTTAAAAGATAAACAATAAAATACTGTAAAGTGTTTTAACAATATAAACCCAAAAACATATAAAATCACAGACTGAAACGCCTAAAATAAACTCTAAAATGAATAAAATAATGTATTTTTGAAATAACTTGGAATTATTTCACTTACAATTGCAAATGTATTTTTCAGTTTTTTGATGGTAAATTTAATGATGTATTTAGTAATTTCACAGTTTATCTAATCTATTAATCATGTAATGGATAAATATTAAAATACTTCTTTGAAATAAAATTCTTTAATTTAGTTCTTAGAGTTAATTTTAATTATTCAATGGAAAATTGAGAAATATGTGCATTTTCTAATGTCATGGTATATATTTTTTTTCTTGCATTAGATAAATAAGTAAAATCTTTTTTTGAACATGTAATTATTTAATTTGATTACATTTAATTAAAATGTATTTAATAAATTTTATATAATATTTATTATCTCTTTATAATTTTGTGGTAAATCTATTAGATAATGTATTTAATAAATAAATAGATAAGTAAATAAGTATTTCATTACAAAACATTCAATAATTTATTTAATGGATGATATTTGAACAGATATTTAAATGAAGAACTAAATGAATAATTTAATTTAACTTCTTTCAGGGTTTTTAAATTTCTTACCGTTTGATTCAGATTTACTGATTCCAAGCTTTATTTCCGTCCATAAACCAAATATTGAGGATGTTGAGCGTTGCTCTCTGCTGCCTAACAGAATGAATCATTTCACCAACGCTGGTTTTTGTTTCTATTTCTTGCATTTCAGAGTCCAAAGAGGCGATAGTTATCCCCAGGAAGAAATCATGGTAAGTCTACCTTCTACATGACGCCTGCAGCTCAGTTTCCTGTCATCAGATCCGTCATCGATGGGCTTTTCTCCCCACAGGAACAGAGAAGCAGTCCTGGAGGCTCTGGCTTCCACCGTCCACAGAGTAGGACCCCCCTCTCCGCTCGCTTCAGTGTGTTTCTGCTCGCTCCTCTTTTTTTAACGTGTTTTTCCCTGCAGGATCCAACAGCGTATCCCTACCAGTTCCAGGACGACTCGTACCTCTCACCCAGGACGTCTGCTGAGTTCGTACGTTTAGAAACGCCGCTCAGAGCTTATAGCCTTACGTCTGTGCTTTAGCGTCTGACATGTTTTCCTCTTCCTCTCTGCAGAAGCTCTTCTCCCTCTCCCAGGAGTCTGGCAGAGCTGCAGCTAAATACTTCGTCAACAACAACCCCAAGTTCTTCACCAAAGACTTTGCTGAACCACATATTCCAGTAAGAACCGGAGCGTGTTTTGATCCATTTCTCTTCAGCTCAGCGTCTAACGGGGGGTTTGTTTCAGTGCTTGATGCCGGAGAGCGTGGCGCTGCGTCTGGAGGAGGTGAGCGAGGCGGCGCTGAGGGAGCGGATCAGCCTGAGGAAGGTCTCTGCTGCCGTGGAGATGTACGACCAGCTGCTGCAGTCTGGTGAGTTCACCCACAGCAAGGGGGGGATTCTCAGGTGGTCGCCCCCGCCTAGAAACCTGCTCCTTACTGCTGCTCCCAGGCACACCTGTCTCCATGGAAACGACCCATGAGATGCTGGACCTCATCTGCGTGTACTGCGACAGGGACCCCGTCCAGGAGGGCGCCCCGATTCTGGAGGATGGAGTGAGTCGCTCTCTGTCAGTGTTTGTCGTTGGCGCTGCCTCAGGTGAGCTAAGCGTTTCTGTGCTCGGCTCAGCAGGAGGGGGGAGACGACACAAAGAGGCGTAAAGTCAGAGGGCGGCGAGGAACGGACCTGAAGTTCTCCTGGAAGGAAAACAACAATGCAGAACGGATCTTCCAGCAGCTGCCAGAGAGAGACTCGAGGTGTTACTCTGCTCTGATCAGAGGCATGGTGAAGGTACGGCCTCCTTCGCCGCAGCATCCGTCCGACCACGTCCTCAATGTAAAACTTGTTCCTGTGTCTGTCTGCAGCACGGAGTGTTTTCAAAGGCCTTCAACATGTACACGGAGCTGCTCAACCACAGGCTGACGGGTGAGGATCAGAACACGCAGCCGAGGTCTGGTTGATTCTGTGTCTGATTTAATGGAAGCAAAATGAGAGGAGCTCTGAAAAAAAACACCAGAGGAGCCGCATTTCTATCTAACAAAAACAGCTGCCTGGGGCTTCTTCTAAATGTTGTCATTAAATACGACTTTAT